GGAACGGGTTTTTCCATCCCGTGGGACACAAACTTTATAACTTTTTGGACAACAATACCCCTCTTATTTTTCATTAATTACATTGTCTACCTCCCTTTCTCTCCCGTAACCTCCTCTCTTCTACCCTTGTCTCTCCCGTAGCCCTCCTCTTCCTCCACCACAAACCCAGTAACCCAACTGCTAACCCAATCCCAGCAAACCCATCCGACGACGACGACGTCACCATAGAAAACCCTCTTCTTCTCCGGTGCCGTCTGGCGTCACGAGCATGACCCGTATCTCGTAATCTCCGTCCGTGTAAGTGAGGTGGATCTGATCCGGAACACGACCCGATTCGAAGCTAAGCTCGTCATTCCTAATCTGAGGTGGCGAGCAGGTGGGCGGTGCCGGGGAGGGGGTTGTGGTCCTGGTCGAGGTGGTTGGCGAGCAGGTGGGCGGTGCCGGGGATTAGGACGAAGTCGCCGATTTGGAGAGGGAGGTTGGGGAGAGAGAGAGTGAAACAGTTTGGTGGGTCGGAAGGAAGAAGGTGGATGCTGCACGAAGGACGATTGAAATCAATTTTGGGATTTTTCTGTGTTTGATTTGAAGAGAAAGAAATTGTTTGGGGGTCTGATTCGTCATTTTTTTTCGTTCCGTCCTATGCATACCAAACATAACACGAACCTCCATTCCGTTCCGTTCCGTCCCGTCCCGTCCCGTCCCGTCCCGTCTCGTTCCGTTCCGTCCCGTCTGCGTACCAAACGCACCTTTAGTGAATGGATATGGGAAAATTCATTTTCATAGGAATGAGAAGTTGAAGATTACTGCTAAGTGTCTAAAGGACTGCCCTTGGATGTGTGCTGTTGGCAAGATGTATGGATCAAACATCATCCAAATTAAGACAGTCCTTGATGACCACACCTGTGGGAGGACTTGGGCAAATAAGAACATGACTGCTTTTTTTCTCACAGATTTGTACTTGGATCAGATAAAGCTCAATCCCACATGGCATGTCGAATCCTTTTTATTCATTGTGGAATCCGAGTGGAATCATGGGTGTACAAAGATGAAGGCTTATAGGGCATTGAATAAAGCTTTCAAGATTATTGAAAGAAACATGCATAGCAATATACAAAAATGTGGGATTTTGTTGAGTAAGTAAGAAGGACTAACCCTGGAAGCACTGTGAAGTTGAAGTTTGATGGGGAAAGGTTTTAGAGGATATATGTTTTGCTTGGGGGTATGCAAAGAAGGCTTTAAGGCAGGATGTAGACCTTTGATAGGTTTAGATGGGTGGAGGGCAGTTGTTATGTGCTGTTGGCATTTATCCAAACGATGAAACATGGGTTATTGTTTATGCAATGGTGGAAATGAAAAATAAGGCAACTTAGATTTGGTTTTTACAACTGTTAGCTGATGATGTAGGTATAGAAAACCAAAATGGGTGGACATTTATCAGTGACAGGCAAAATAGGCTAATTCCAGCATTTTAAAAGGTTCTCCCCAGATGCCACCACATATTCTGTGTAAGGCATTTGTACACAAACTATAGGAATTTATTCAAGGGGAAAACTTTGAAGGATGCTCTATGGGCAGTTGCCAAAACAAAAACGGTTCCACACTTCAAAAAGGCAATGGAGAAGGTTAAGAAGCTAGATAAGGAGGCCTACAAATGGCTAGTGAAGAAGCTTGCAACTCAATGGAGCAAGTCCCACTTTGAAGCCTATCCAAAGTGTGACTTGTTGAATAATTTGTCTAAATCATTTAATGCGGTCATACTAGTGCCAAGGCAAAAGCATATTATAGCTATAAAGATCCAATTTTTTTTATTTGTAAGCTAAATTCAGTGATAGGCCAAACTAAAGTCATGGTTAATCTCTACACTATTAGCCATAATAAATTTCTTTCCTTAAAGAAATCAAGTACAATAATAAATTTGGGTTATTTTATGGCTGCATCTAACATTCGTGTTAAACTGCCTACGTAACCTACGAAGGGATCAAGCCATTCGTAGTTCACAAATTTCATTCAAGTGACTAACAATCACTAACTTAGTTCAAACAAGCGATTCACACCAATTGCATATCAAGTATAGATTCAGAATATCAAAATTAGCTTAGAAAGACAGCGTCGGCTCACTGTCCAAGCGCAGCCGCAAGTGGCGGTTTCCGGCAAATGGAAACTTCAAATTTCGACGAACTCTAAATATTACCAAATTTTATAAGGTTGTAGAGTTCAATGAGATGAACAACTTTTATACCTGGGCCGAAGTCTAATTCGACTGGGAAGTGGGCATAAAAGAACCGCTGGAACCCTCAATTTGGGTAGTTGTCGATTTGCCACCAAAACGAACTCTGACGCCTCATCCAAGGCTTGGGCATTGTCCCTGGCGTTGAGGGGAGTCTTTTGGTGGTGGTCATCGATGACAATTGTTGTCGGATTCACTGGAAAAAATATAAAACCACCAGGACACCCGTGGGTTTGTGGCTTCGATTTGTGAATTTGGGTTAGAAATCTAGAAATCTAATATCATAGAGACGTTGGGCTTGATGAGAGCTTTCCATAGACACTGGAACCACCTTGAACGGATGTCGGACGAAGAAGATAGGACCGGGTCGGGTCAGTTGCATGGATCTAAAAGGATCAAGTGCTCTTTCACCTCCCTCATTTCTCTCCCTTCTTTCTCTACCCATTGGTCTTCTCCCCTCCTCCTTTTCTCTCCCGCATCCCTCATTTCCCCTCTCTGTTGCTGCCACCCCATTTCTTTTATTTATTTATTTATTTCCAATAACGAAAACATCTCTAATTTCTTCGTTATAACACCGTTTCACGAACTGTTTTCGCCTACACGCACGTAGGATCTAACTCCATCCATATATGTCAAGAAATACAATAAAATATATAAGGATAAAATACGTTGTCGTAAAATTACGTTTAATCAACAAGGGGCATTTTCCACTTATCTATAAATTTTCTACATTTTCATATGTTTTAAATTTTCTAGGGTATTACAATAACTATGCTGTAAATGATTCACACTATGTTGATGAAGAGAATTCAAATGAGGTGAGGTATAATGATGAAGCAAGTAGGAGATCTTTGCCCTAAGATTAAGAAGAAGTTAGAGGAAGCCAAACTCTTAAGTGGCAGGTGCATTGCACAATGGTCAGGAGGGACCAAATTTCAAATGGATGCTGGAGGTGGGGAACAATATGTGGTGGACTTGGTTGAGAAGACATGCTCTTGTAGGAAGTATGACTTGACGAGAATACCTTGCAACTATGCAATATCTGCCATCCATTTCAAGAGAGAAAAACCTGAGGATTATGTGGATGCTTACTATTTAAGGGCACGGTCCTCAGAAGTTTATTCTCACTTAATAATGTCAATGAATGGTATGTCATTGTGGGAGGATACTGAAAACCCACCAATCTTGCCTCTATTATATACAAGGCAACCTGGAAGACCAAAGAAGAAAAGAAACAAAGAAGCTGCTGAATTGGAGAAAGATGGTGAACAAACTCCCACCCACCCACCCACCCACCCACCCACCAAATAATCCTGAAGGTCCTTCTAAGCCACTTAAGCTAGGAAGAAATGGGCAAGGTGCTTTAAAGTGTACTATGCAAGCAAGAAGGACATAATTCAAGGACCCATCATCGACATCTTCCTCCAAGGGACAAACAGGTAGCATTTTGTACTTTCTTTAATCCTTTAATGAATGATTTGATACTTTGTTATATGCATCCACATCAGCACAAGGGAGAGCATCATCATCAGCCGAAGCTGCACCTAGAAAGAGGACAAGGAAATCTAAGGTAAAAACTTAATCCTCTCCTTTGTAGTTTACAACAACAAGTTTAGTTTAGAACCTTACTTTGCATCTGACCTTTTTGTAATGAACATTGAAATTAGGCATCACAAATAGGGGATGGTTCATTTGCAAATCCTGAAGCTCATTCACCGAGACCCACCAAGTAGAGAAAGACAAGGCAAACCAAGACCTAAAGATGCCAGACATTGTAACAAATTACTATTTTTTAGTTCATGTTTTATGTGCAACAGGAGCTGAAATTATGCTACATGGGTTCTGGAATTAGACATCACAAATATTGAATTTCTTTCGATTTTTTGAACTGATTTGGAATCCTGAAAATGCACTGTTTTGCTAGATGGATTTCAGTAGGTTTTAGGAATCAGTGCACTGTGCATTTTGGGATATTTAAGGATGTCTAATGGATATCTTTGTAAATGTTGGATGGATTAACGATGCCATATGAATTATGTTTTGTTTGAAGTGGACTTTGTGTTCATCTTTTGATTATATCACGTGTTTATGTAGGATTTGTGTTCATCTCTATCTTACATCATGTGTTGATGTGGGATCACGTGTTTATGTAGAATTTCCATTTGGTTTTTTTAGGTTGTATTATCTTCCAAAATTGGACCCTTTAAAAATTAATTTTTTTTTGCTGGTGTGGAATAGTTTTGGTGGGAAAAAATTATGCTGAATTTTGTTTATTTATAAAAATGACGTGGAAATTAATTTTGGCCGGAAATCTACGTAGCAGACCGTGTGGAAGTTCATCTGTGGAGATGGTGGAACCTAGCTTCAACCACGTCAGCATATAACGGACGAATTGACAGACAACGTAACGGAGGTAGAACATTGCAACAATTTCGTACATAAAGTATGCCATTGAAACTTTTTAAAGATGAGGTATGAAACTGTTAATGACTCAATAATTGAGATAATTATGTGTAATTTACCCAAAATAAAATTACTTTTCGAATATAATATATAAAGATGGAAAACAGGAAAGTAAGGGAAAATTCTGAACGCTGTGTGCGAAAAGAAATAAAAAGCGAAATTTCCGATTTTGGCCCTCAAATCAAATTTTGCTTCCCGCTCAACTCAAAGATTTAAATCCCACAGGCACTGTACCACACATACAATTCCAGATTCGAAACAGAAACCCAACCTCCTCATTCCTTCCAGTTCCAGGTATTTCTCTTTTTTTTTTCTTTTAATTTCTTGCTTATCTTTTTAATAAATCCACTTCCAAGGTCATACTTTTTCTGTTCTAGGGTTTCTTCTTGCCCAAATCTTTCCAAAACCAAATTTGAATCTACAAAATCTCGAGTTTTGACTATCCTTTAGTTCTAGATTCGTTACCCGGTTCTACGATTCGGTGAAAATGTGGTACTCTGACAAGTGTATTGATAAGAAACCCTAATTTGGGTTTGCTCTATTGCCCTATTTCTTGATTAGTGTTTCCAGAATCAGGTTCGTGTTTGTGTTCTTCATCTGGTTTGTCTATTTCCAGTAGATACTTGCAAGTTTTTCGATCAATTACATTCGGCAAATCTGATTGAATTTATGGCTGAGTATGCCTGTTTCAAAACTGACTAAGGAGCCCCATTGCATTCACCGTTAGCAGTAGGCAGCAATGAAGTCATAACCATACTATGCCCAATTTTGTACACCTACTAGTGTATGTGCCGGTATCAAAGGATGTCAACTAATCCCATATGCGGGGATGTGGGATTACGAAAGGCACATAATACTCATGGAATTCTTAGTCTTAAATACTTCAAAACCCCTTTTTTTCTTCTCATGGATCTGTCTATGTGGTTGGTTCTTTTCAGTTTTCTATATGAAAATGCTCACGTTAACATGTTTCTTCGTGCTCCAGATCTTTACTGCATTAGAGCCGTGCACAAGTTGAGGATCAAGGGAAATGGAGGATGTATATAAAGAACTAGATGACGTTAAAGCAGAGGTCGAGAGGCTTAAGGCTGAAGTCCGGGTTAAGATGGAACTTTCCGATGTTCTGAAGAAAGCCAACACTGAGCAGTCGATCAAGTTTCAAGAAGCTAAGCGGGAGAATGAGAAACAAGCTCAAGAACTAAATGTCAAGCTTGACGAAATTTCTCAATTAAGGCAGGCTTCTAGAACCCTTCAGTCTTGTTTGCTTGAAAAAGAGTCGTCGCTTAGGCATTTGACTTGTTTGCATGAAAAACTTCGAGCTGATAATGAGAAGAAATTGCAGAAAATGGAAGAGGAAAATAGAGAGTTAGTATCCGCCTTAGATGAAGCTACTGAGAGAAAAAAAGAGTTGGAGCAGAATTTTGGTGCCAGTACTAAAGAGATTGAGGGCCTTAAAAGACTCTTATCGACTACAGAAAGGAAGTGTTTCGAGGCAGATCAGAAGGCTCGAGAAACCAAAGAACTGAGACAGAGAGATGACATCATAATGGGGTTAGAGGAGGAAAATAGAAATGCTCAAGATCAGTTGAAATGGAAGAACGAACAGTTTATACATCTTGAAGAAGCACATAGACGGCTCCAAGCTGAGTTCCAGTCGGGTAAAGAGGAGTGGGAGAGGGACAAATCAGCACTGTTTGAAGAGATCTCTTTGTTGCAGACAAGCTTGGATTCCCAAACGAGAATTCTTGAAGGTGTTCAAAAACTTTTGGAGATGTGCAACCAATCTTTAGCTCATGAAGAAAGCAGGAGGAAGTTTTTGGAGGTTGAAGTGTCCGAATTCAAATCACGTTATGAGAATGTGTTTGCCCGGTGTGAAGAAGAAAGGTCAAAGTTTGATAGCTTGGCTGTTCAAAGGGATGAAGAGATTGCTAAGCTAAGAAACTCACTGTCAACAAAAGAAGCACTCTCCAAAGAAACGGAATTTAGAATTGTTCACCTTGAGCAAGAGAATCGGGAATTGAGAATCTGTAAAGGAACTGCAGGAAGCTCAAATCAGAAATTGTGCCCCAGCTGCTCTAACAAAGCTACGCAACAAGCTTAGGGGCTTGGAGCAGGTACATAGCAACTGTTCAACAAATCTGAAAGCAAAAGAATCTGAATTGAGCCTCCAAATAGAGAAGATGAAAGGAGATGTAAATAGGCACAACTCTGAATTGAAGGGTAGAGAGAAGCAAATACAGGAGCTTCAGATGGAGCTAGAAAGCTGCCATTCAGTGATTGACGTTTCAAATGAAGAGATTCCAGTAGTACTTGCGATCTTTAAATCAGAACTCTCAGAGGCTTACTCCAACAAATCTGATGCAAAAACTGAAATAGAGCTGTGTGACAGAATGGATGACAAGATCTCTCTACTTCAAACACAGTTGGAGATGAAGAACAGTGATTTACAAAATGCTCATCTTAAGCTAGAACAAGAACATGAGAAAGCAGAAATATTAATGAAGAGGATAAGGTCCTTGGAACTAGCTGAACAGCATCAGGTTATCATGGAGGAAGAGATTCAACAACATAAAAAGATGCTTGAGGAATCATCTGTGCATCAACTTTACATGAAAGAACAATTTGTGCAGATGGAAGCGGAGAAACGAGAATTTTCTTTGGCTTTAGAAAAGGCAAACCTTGAATTGGCTGAGAAAATTCGTGAAGCAAATCAGTTAGAATTCGAATTACAGAATTGGAAGTCTAGTGCCGAAAGCTTGAAACTGTGCTGTCAAGAAAATCAAGAAAAATGTAGACAAATGGAGAATTCACTTCTTGCACAAGCTGAGAATGAAGAAACCCTTAAGCATGAGAAAGACATGCTTATCACCATTACCAAAGAGAAAATTAATAGAACTGAAGTTCTGGAGCGGAAGATTGTCCTTCTAGAAGCTACAGTTGCATCAAAGAACGAGGAAGTGGAATTTTTCACACAAAACACTGAGTACCTTATAAGCAATGCCAAGGAGAAGGATAGCTGCATAGAAAATCTCCAAAATGATAACACCCGGATGGAGCAGGAGGCCATGAGAAGAGAGGTGGAAGCAGCAATTCTTGCAAGCATAGACACAGAGAAATATGTTGGACTAGAGAAAGACAGGCTTTTCAAGGTTATGAATGAGAAAGATGCGAATATAAAAGTTCTCCAAGTATTGGCGTCGTCATTAGAGCAAGACTTGACAAGTGCATTTATATCGTCCTTCTCAGAAGTTGTAGAAAATCTGGTAACAGTTGAAAAGCTTACTGAAGATTTGAAGAAGGCCAAACATATGACAGAGCTAGAGATTGAAGAGAAGAACATGAGAATTGTTGATTTGGAGAAGGAAGTATCTGGTTTGCGGAAAAGTTTGACAAATCAGGAGGAAGCCTTGTTTACTGAAAAGCAACAAGCAGATGAACTTCAAGCATTATTGGAAGTCAACAAATTGGAAAATGGTAAACTGATGGGTGAACAGAGGAGGCTGGAAGGCATAGTCAAGCAGCTTGAGTTTGAAAAACACGTTCTTTTTCAAGACACCACAAGTGTATCAAAAGATAGGGAGGAAGTTTTTGTTCACTTTGAAGAAATATGTGATCGTATGGGTGACTTCATTTGTGAGGATGTGGAGATGATGAATCTTTTGGATACAATGTTACAAAGGTGCAAGGAAGAGGTGAAACCAGCAACTAATTTGAAAGTGGATAATGAGCTCTATGATTCTACCTATGAGAATGCAAACAATTCTATTTCGGTGTCAGCAAGAAAACTTGAAGCGTATAGTACTGGAAGATCACCACTGAAAGAAGTGAATCAGCGGCAGTTGTAACTAATACAAGAGATACAAGTTTTCACTGAAGAATTTGACACAAGGTAATTCAAAACCCATGCCTTTGTTTTTAGATGTCATCATCTACTTCTTAATTTTCAGAGTTATCGAAAAAGTTATTAGCTTATTTATACTGGAAAATTTAATGCATATGTGAATCGTTCTTTTACACAACCTCCCACTTATTGAGATATTAACCATATTATGCACATTCTGTAATCGGCTAATGGGTCAAGGGCAGGATGAAAAATTCTGCGCTTTAAAGGTTATGCTTTGGAGTTAAGAGAGCTGTTTCAGAACTTGTTAAATGCTCCAATGTTGTGAAACACTTTGCAAATTTGCTGAACATGAAACTTCTGTGTGCAATGGCGAATTGCTAGATGTAGGATGCATATTGTATAAAGGTATTATCCTCATCCGCCGATCATGCTGAGCGCGTAACAAAGTCGAATGCAATCAATTGTTGAGGGCATTGATAATTGTTATAGTCTGTAGAAATAGATTCTCGTGCATTCAATATCTGTGGGAAAAATTTGACTGTAATGTTTTCCGTTTGTGTAGAGTAGCCAGAATCGAAGGAATGTACTCCAAATGGGAATGGGCTTGAGACATCGTCGAGCTATCGAGCTTGAACCAGTTAGCAAATGGCAAGGCCAAACAAATATTTTGTAGTTTCTGCTGTGTGTTGTTGTATGAGTTACCACAAACCTCGTTTCTAGTCTTTTAACTTTTCTTTTCTCCTTTCCAATTATTCTGTACTCTCCTTTTCCCTTCCACATTACGAAATGTGACTTGAAGTTCAGTTCCCAAATGCAATCAGTCCCATTAAAATCCTTGTGTTGATGTTGAAAATTTTAAATTTCATTTCGTTAAAAAAATAATAAAAAATGTTGAAAGTAGTAGTTTTAGCAGCCAAATGTGAAAAAGTTGAGCACCTGTCATTTGATAATGAGAAAATTGTAGAAATGGTCCCTTAATTTAAGCTCAATGGGAGCAATGGTCCCTTAACTAAAAATCCATGACCATTGGTCCCTTAACTTATCAAACGTGCAGCTATGGTCTATTTTATCAACTCCGTCAGAATTCTGTCAAAATGAGTCAATGTTGGAAGAATCATTACTTAAATTGGATTTAAATTGAGGGATTATTGCTCCAATTAGGTTAAAGTTGAGAGATCATTTCTCCAATTGAGTTAAAATTGAAGAACCATTGCTACAATTTTTTCTTATTTAATTTTTTATATTTGCCCATTGATTCAACCTCACGTGCGTGTCATGTGACTCATTTTAAAGGATAATTAGTTGTGTCCGAAAATTATATTTCATCGGAATATACCCAAAAACCTTGAAGCTGCTACTACAGAAAATTACCTGAGTACTCAAAACTCATATTTGGGAAAGAAAATTACTATTTGGTTGACTGATACTGCTTCCTGAACATTTATCTTGCAATAGATGGGAGGAATGTAGCCGTCTATGGCGTTTCTTGGTAATTGATACAACAAATTATCACCGTAACCGGCATGAGGTTGTCACACAATAATCCCTGATAACGCAGGGAACCACATCACTGAGTTTCAAGTCGTACATAATTCAACATCTATGAATTCTCCTCGTTCTTTTCAGATGAACTTGAACCTTTGGAGAATTTCGTGCGCCATTTCTGCTTGTTCTTCTCAGATGTATTCACATTTTCGGTGTATTTAGTAAGACCCTGCCTCAACGCTCCAATGTTTACCCCATTATCCACCAAAATGCTTGTTACGCCCATCTTTGAAACCTGCAAATACCATCACAAAGTTTTGATAAATGGGTGAGAGATTACGGTCTCGTATAAATTGAAAATATACGAACAATTCTGGGGATAGTATAACAATAAAATCTCTTGGCACGGAGACTTGACGCGAAGCAACACTTGTGTGACACATTGTATAGATAACCAGTGGTTTCTGATAAGGAGAGGGAAGCAAAATTGGAAGGGGAAAAAGGGTGGGGCTATTTCCGCACCCAAAAAAAGGATGAGTTGGTTCAAACCAGCTTTTCTGCGTTGCAAAAGTTGCCTACTATTAGATCTGTAAACTCTTCTTTTTCAGCTTTGGCCAAGCGTGCTGGAGAAAGTCATGTCACGCGTAATGTTGACACTTAAAACTCACGTCGTCAATCGTAATCATTCTCTTGAATTTTAGTCCACTTTAGCCAATACCAGGATTTCTTTTTCTACACATTTTGATACCAGTATCACAATTGCCACAGAAGAAATGGAAGGGATAATCTTACCGCTTGGATGTTCCTATTTTCGTCATCAAAGAAAAGCATTGAGTTGAAGGGGACCCCGGTCCTTGTATGAATTCGCTGAAAATGGTCCGTCTTGTGTGTCCAACTCGAAAAAATCTCCTGTACAAACAGCAAGCCAGATTTACAAATCAAACTCAATTGAAAGAGTTACAGTCAGCACACCTTTGGCAGCTCTCTTAATCCTAATTGAAACTGAAAAGATAAAAGGGCATTGTGCTCTGATCCGTCACCTGGGCTGCGAACATCGACTTGATACTCAATTTTTCAATAAAAGTCTTTGCTATATCCGCAGTTGGTGACCTAGAAGCAATGGCAAGGCCAATTCCTTTTTCTTTCAGTGCATACAATACTCCTCTGGCATGGGGATACATCGATGGCATTTCACGTTTGGAGCGACATTCACTGAAAAAAGAACACAAATGTAAGTTGAGGCTACAAATGTGAACCGAGTGTTCGTACGTCACCACGAAAGATAACACTAGATCGATACAAGACATGAAGCCGTGAATAGGGTAGCGCTATTCACACACCCTTGTTAGTTTTTGTCCATCGATCTTTTTCAATTCATTCAATCCGATGGCCAAAAATTGAGACGTTGCATTAGAAGTAGAAATGGGTGCGTGGATAGCACCGTCCTAACTAATATTTTTCTCCTCGGTTTTATTTTGAAAACTGATGATCTATGTTGTTCAGCAAAGATCCACTTTCAAGAAAAATTAAAATTATATAATACAAATATGCGCAGTAATATTGACAACATCCCAAACCTCAAACCATCGTTTTGTTTCCAGTTCACAGGGAAAGTAGGATTACATATATTCATTAGTCGTCTGGGTTATCACAATTAATAGAAAATTTTCGCCGCTTCCTGGGAAAAGGAGAGAAAACCAAGATTTTCTCGGCAACCAAACAAGTTATAGTCGGAAAGAAAGAGAGAGAGAGAGATAAAGAAATGGCGTACCAATAGAAAGGCCAGAGAGTGTAATCAAGATCAAAGACAACCAATCGCGGAAGCACTTGGAACATTCCCAATATCTCTAAAGCATCTGCCTTCACCTTATCGTCACCCATTCTCTCTCTGATGTAAAGTTTCCAATTTGCCTGCGTTCTTGGGTGAATTAGGCAATATAAATAAACATAAATTATAAAGAAGGATCAATAATGTAATTTCACAGATCTAAATTTTATTATTTTTATTAGAATCTCACATTTTTAATAATTAAAATTAAAAAAAAACAAAAGAAAAACTCTCAATCCCCCATGTTCTCTCTCTCCCTCTTATTTTCTAAGGGGGTGTATTCAATTGAGAATGTGAGAGATTTTAATAGATTTATAAATCCATCGATTTTTATGGAATTTAGGGGGGTGTATTCAATTAGAATTTTGAGAGATTTTAATTCTTTTAATGAATCAATGGGTATTCAATCAGGAATTTAAGTGATTCAATTCCCTTGAAATCTCATGGGAAGAGGTGAGATTTGTAGATGCTTAAAATACACTACGGAATCTCTCCAATTCCCTCTAATTCCTCAACTTTTTCAAATTCTTTAAAATCAATTTCTAATTGAATACACCTGGAATGTTATAAACTTCTTTAAAATTCTAATTGAATACACCCAGATTTCTAAGGATTTTAATAAACTATCTTAAAATTCTAATTGAATACACCTAAAATTTCAGAGAATCACTTGAAATCCTGATTGAATACCCCTAGATTCATTAAAAGAATTAAAATCCCTTAAAATCCCATTTGAATACACCCCCCTAAAAAAATGTGTTTATACACACAAAATGTGTAGGCAAATGCTAGTTATTAATGGTCAACATGTTTTTATTTTAATTCATACAATATTTTGATCTCATTTCACATAGAGACAAAACTTATATACATGGGTAGATGATGCGATAGACGATACTTTCGTTGGAGCCAAAGTTATGAAACCCCTTCTTTATATTTTTTTTGAAAAGTAAATTTCATTAATATGAAGGAAGGTTGTAGGCCAACATATAGGAAGACTAAATAACCCAAATACATTGAGGGGAACCGATACATAAAAGCCTAACCTAATTAAACAAGCAAAAACTAAAACCCACATTCCTAATCTCTGACTGCAGAAAGTCGTATTTGCCACCGTGAGCGCCATGAAAGTCTTGCCAGCATTTACCGAAGCAACAACACTAGAGAAAATGACTAAGTGGTGAAATCAACCAAGACATCATAGCACAAAAGAACCAAACCCGCAAGCAAAAGCACACCACATCCATATTTCTTCACCAAAGATGCAAAACTAAGAGATAGTCACTAGATCCAAATCCCATTTACCAATCCCTGCAAATATATACAAACACAATAATGCATGGATAGAAGGTGAGGCTAAGGGGTATGTAAAATGCCCTTACTTTGGCCAAAGCTACAAAACACTTGGCCTCGAGGGAAATACGACATGCCGGTTGGCGTAGGGAAAGTGAGGGAGGGAAATAAATCTGGTAACCATATCCAGCCTGGAGTCGTAGATCAGAGCAAAAGACAGGGTGGAGATGGATTATGAGGAAGAGAGACGGGGAAAAGTGGGGGGAGATGGAGTTTTGTGTTTGGAAAGGAACGGCCACAGGAAAGGGAGGGGAGAAATGAAGGGATATGAAGCCCAAAAGTGAGAAACTAACGAGAAAATTTGAGACAAAGCTTAAGAAAATTGAGAAGTTGAAAAAGAGAGAAAGGAGACATGAAGAAGAGGGAAAAAAAATGAGACAAAGAGATTGGACAAGTGCAGCCACCGATACCCAAGCGAAAGGCTAGGGTCAGCGACAAGAGTGTTTATAAAGTGGGAAACCAGAGAGAGAAAACACGTTTTATTTATTTATTTTTATTTTAATTAAAGAATCCCCTTCTTTTAAATGACGATTTCGACGATGGTTGACTACCAACACGATGGCATCAGGGAAGTGAAATAAGGGTGGCATTTTGCCATGTGTTTATTTGAAGAATATCAAATTTAAAAAGTCATTCGTTTTTGTAAGAAAGATCTGCATTCGCAATGGCATCAACTATTTGCAACCTTACAAATTTAAGTCCACTAGACCAAAATGTGGTACGACCCATCCCTAATTTTCCAGTAATTTTGCCCTCACTAATGTGAAATTACCAAAATTCCCTAGAAGGACACACCTTGCCTTCTGTTGACTTCGTTTTCAAAGGCATTTTTGTAATTTTATTCATTTCCGAAGAATTCTAATTGGTTTGTTTGGTGTGTTGTGGAACCCAAGGGGGGATCTTTACACCTCATTTTTCATCCCCCGACTTCTCTAGAGAACTCTTTCTCACTCCCTATTTCTTTCGGTTTTCTTCCTTGAAGACACCGACACCACCACCACAACTTCCTCTGGCGAATCGACCTCCCAAAAACCACTATCATCATCATCATCATCATCATCATCTCATAAACTCGTTTCTGACCTTAGTTTCTAGAAAATCGAACTCGAGATGATGTTTCTTCGAGCTCCAAAACGGACGCGACTTTCATGGTAAGATTCCTTGAAATATGTTCGAGGTAAAGCCTAAACCACTTTCTTTGTATTAGTATCGTCGAGTAGATAAATTTTCATATATGGATTGCATGATTTGGTTGAGAAATGACAAAGATATGGCGAATAAAATTTTTTCCTAAAAACTAGCCAATTTTTCCAGAATCTGGCTAGATTCTTGGTGGCTTGGCTTGGCTTGGGTCAACAGTTGACTTTCATTAGTTTCTCGGGTTTCAGCCCGGGACCCTTCCTAGGATATTTTGTAACATCCCACATCGACCAACGGAGAGGGGGTGATGTGCCTTATATGTACATGCCCACCTCCTATAGCACGAGGTCTTTTGGAAGCTCACTGGCTTCGGGTTTTGTAGGAACTCTAAAGTTAAGCGAGTTCGCACGAGAGTAATCCCAGAATGGGTAACCCAATGGGAAGTTTTCGTATGAGTTCCCAGAAACAAAACCGTGAGAGCGTGGTCGGGGCCTAAAGTGGATAATATCGTGCTACGGCGGAGTTGAGCCCGAGATGTAGTGGAGGCCCGGGCCGAGATGTGTCAATTTGGTATCAGAGCCAATCCCTAGCCGGAAGTGTGCCGACGAGGACTTTGGGCCCCTAAGTGGGGTGGATTGTAAGATCCCACATCGCCTAGGGGTGAGGATCCTGTAAGCCTTATATGTATATTCCCATCTCTACCTAACACGAAGCCTTTTGGGAGCTCACTGGCTTCGGGTTCCATAGGAACTCTGAAGTTAAGCGAGAAAGGGGTCAGAGCATTCCCAAGATGGGTGACAAACTGGGAAGTTCTCATGTGAGTTCCCATAAACAAAACCGTGAGGGCGTGACTGGGGCCCAAAGCGGACCCTGTAAGCCTTATATGTATATTCCTACCTCTACCTAGCACGAGGTCTTTTGGGAGTTCACTGGCTTCAGGTTCCATAGGAACTCCGAAGTTAAGTGAGAAAATGGTCAGAACATTCCTAGGATGGGTAACCCACTGGGAAGTTCTTGTGTGAGTTCCCAAAAACAATACCGTGAGGGCGTGGCTGGGGCCCAACGCGGACAATATCGTGTTACGGCGGAGTGGAGCTCGGGATGTGGTGGGGGTCCGGGCCGAGATGTGACAATTTGGTATCAGAACTAATCCCTGGTCGGAAGTGTGCCAACGAGGACGTTGGGCCCTTAAGGGGGGTGAAGATCCCACATCGCCCAAGGGTAAGGATCTTATAAGCCTTATATGTATATTCTCATCTCTACCTAGCACGAGGCTTTTTGGGAGCTTACTGGATTTGGGTTCTATAGGAACTCCGAAGTTAAGAGAGAAAAGGGTCAGAGCATTCCCATGATGGGTGACCCACTGAGAAGTTCTCGTGTGAGTTCCTAGAAATAAAACCGTGAGGGCGTGGCTGGGGCCCAAAACAGACAATATCGTGTTACGGTGGAGTCTAGCCTGGGATGTGATGGGGGCTCGGCCCGGGATGTGACATATTTCAACATGCTGATTCTGAATCGGCATACATTTTTTCAAATTCAATTGTTTTAATAGAGTTGTGATAATGCGTTTGTTTATAAACTTAAGTGCGAGCAGTTCTAGGGGCCTTAGAGGACAAACCCATCTTGAAGAAGACTTCATATACGATCAGTGGGTGGACTTTTATTTCAGAATGTTTTATTTATCTAAATTCTAAGTATATGTCTAGATAAAAATGAATTTCAGTTTTATTTTATGAATTATACTAATTTCATGGTATATCATCAGAGTTATGATTTATGATTTGCAAGTTAAACAGGTTTCGAGATTTTACTACTAGATTTATGATTTATGACTTATGATTATGACGATGATGATCTTATGAACGTTGGATTCTTTATTACTTATCTTGTGGCATGCATACACCCATACAGATTTAGAGTATTGTACTACGTCCATAGTCGTAGGACACATCTTGTTGGGGTACCATAATTGGACTCTCAGCTTGTCATTACCTTGAGCTTACTTGGTAATGACATGTTTACACAGTTATATTCTCAGCTAGTCATTGCCTCGAGATTACTCAGCAATGTCATGATTATATTTCCAGCTTTCACTAGCTATGCCTAGTGGATGATTATATTTCCAGCTGTCACTAGTTAAAGCTAGTGGATAGTATTGTATAACGTCCCACCAGTAAGTATCAACTCAATATATATGTACCTATCTGCTCTTAGTGTATACATGTATACCAGTTTTTAGTTTTATGACATGCTTAACTTTTCAGAAATTATATGTAGTTTTATATGTATTAGTATATTCAGAGAATGGAATTGTTTTAGAAACTTTTATTCAAAAAGTGTTTCTGACCCACATGTCAACAACTAAGTCTCTAAAAATTTTTGTTTAAACTTCACTAGAGATGGACACGAGATCCAGTTTAGGAAAGAAATCCATCCCTAGTACTACATCGCAAGTATTGAAAGCCTTGATCTAAGAACTGGGGCAAGGTAAATTGTCATTGATTTGTTTCTTGTAGGTTGTTTTAAACATGGTTCGAAATTCTTAAGTCCAATAAATATATTGTTAAGCACGAAGCCAAAGATTCATCATGAGTTTAATATTTAATTC